AAAACCAATATGGTATTGTACATCAACTATACTTCACGAAAAAAAAAATACATCAAAAGGATCATCCATCATGACCAAGTGGGACCAGAGATGCAAGAATGGCACAGTATTCATAAATCAATCAACATGATACACCATATTAACAAAAAGAAAGATAAAAACCATATGATCATCTCAATAGATGCTTGAAAAGGCATTTGACAAAATTCAATATCCATTCATGATAAAAACTCTCAACAAAATGGGCATAAAGGTTAAGTACCTCAATGCAGTAAGGGCCATATATGATAAACCACAGCTAACACCATACCCAATGGCATACTCAAAAGCTGAAAGCCTTTCTTCTAAGATCAGGAACAAGGCAAGAATGACCACTCTCACCACTTTTATTCAACATAGCACTGTAAGTCCTATCCACAGCAGTCAGACAAGATAAAGAGATAAAAGGCATCCAAATTGGTAAGGAAGAATGAAAACTTTCACTATTTGCAGATGACATGATACTATATATAGAAAACCCTAAAGACTCCACCAAAAAACTATTAGAACTAATAACTGGATTCAGCAAAACTGCAGGATACAAAATACATAGAAATCTGTTATATTCCTCTATATACTAACAATGAACTAGGAAAAAGAGAAATCAGGGAAACAACTCCATTTACAATTACATCAAAGAGATTAAAATACCTAGGAATAAACTAACCAAGGAGTGAAAGACCTGTATTCTGAAAACTATTAAAACACTGATGAGAGAAATAAAAGATACAAATAAGTGGAAATATATCCCATACTCATGGATAGAAAGAATTAATATTGTCAAAATGGCCATCCTGCCCAAAGCAATTTAAAGATTCAGTACAAACCCTTTCAAAATACCAACAGCATTTTTCAATGAACTAGAGTAAATAATCCTAACATTCATATGGACCCACACAAGATCCCAAATAGCCAAAGCCATTCTGAGAAAGAAAAAGAAAGCTGGGAGTATCATACTCCCTAACTTCAAGCTCTACTACAAAGCTACAGTAATCAAAACAGTTTGGCACTGGCACAAGAAAAGACCCACAGATCAATGGAACAGAATAGACAGCCCAGATATAAACCCATGCATATATGGTCAATTAATGTACATAAAGGAGCCATGAATATACAATGGGGAAAAGACAGCCTCTTCAATAACTGGTGTTGGGAAAACTAGACAGCTATATGTAAGAGAATGAAACTGGATCACTGTCTACATATACAGAAGAAAATTCAAAATGGATTAAAGACCTAAATGTAAGATACAAAAATCATAAAACTTTTAGAAGAAAACAGGCAAAAATCTCTTGAACATAAGCATGAACAATTTTTTTCTGGACACACCTCCCAAGGCAAGGGAAACAAAATGTGAACAAGTTGGACTACATCAAACTAAAAAAGCTTCTGTACAGCAAGACACCATCAACAGAGGTATGCAACCATCAAAAGGCAACCTACAGTTTGAGAATATATTTGTAAATGATTTATCTGATAAGGGGTTAACACCCAAAATATATTAAGAACTCATATGCCTTGACACCAGAAAAATAAATAACCTGATTAAAAATGGCGGTAGGACCTGAAAATTTTTCCAAAGAAGAAATACAGATGATCAATAGGCACGTGAAAAGATGCTCCACATTGTTAATCATCAGGGAAATGCAAATCAAAACCACAATGAGATATCACCTTGCACCCATCAGAATGTCCACTATCAAAAGAGAAGAAATAACAAGGTTAGCAAGGATGTGGAGAAACAGGAACCCTTCTACACTATTCGTGGTAATGTAAATTGGTGTAGCCACTATAGAAAACAGTAATGGAGGTTCCTCAAAAAACTAAAAATAGAAATACCATTTTGACCCTGTAATTCCACTTCCGGAAATTTATCCAAAGAAAACAAAATTCCTGATTCAAAATGATATATGCATCCCTATGTTTATTGCCACATTATTTACAATAGCCCAGATATGGAAGCAACCAAAGTGTCCATCCATAGATGAATGGATAAAGAAGATGTGGCACATGTACACAATGGAATATTATTCAAACATAAAAAAGAAATAAATCCTGCCATTTGCGCATGGATGGATCTAGAGGGTATTATGCTAAGTGAAATAGGCCAAGCAGAGAAGACAAATACCATGTTTTCACTTATTTCTGGAATCTAAAAACAAAACAAAATGGACAAAATGGCAGTAGACACTGAGAAGTGACTGGTAGTTACCATAGGAGAGGGGTTAGTGTGGGTAGGTGGTGAGGGTGAGGAGGATTGAGGCACAAAAATTCCCAATCATAATATAAGTTGGTCACGGGGATAGTAGTATAGCATAGAGAATACAGCCAATGATTCTGTAACATCTTTTCTATGTTGACAGTAACTATGCAGTTGGGGTGAAGATTTAATGATGTGGGTAACTGTTAAATCACTGTGTTGTATACTTGAAACTAAACTGTATATCAACTGTACTTCAATTAAAGAAAAATACAACCCAGCCTGTAATTCTGGAGGCAGTGTGTACAATCACAATTGCTCAGGAACTGGAGCAACTGGGAGTGGTAGCTTGTCCCCCACTGTCCTTTTTAACCCTGCTGTCCAATCTTGAAACCATTTGAGTTCTGGAATTAATTAATTAGGGATGGTAAAATAAGTAAATCAGCCTGTGCAAGTGTACTTCATGTTGGGGTTACTCTCTTGTAAAGTTACTAATCATCCCTTACCTTACTGGGCACTGCTGATCTGGCCAACTCATAGTTTTTCTATACCTGCTCATTTGGGCTGTGAACAGCAGTCTGCTTCTGCTTGGCGGGATGGCAGCTTTACTTGTATTATCTTGCTCTAGGAGTTTAAGTGTTAAATTCTCCGACACTGTGCCATGCTCTGACAGGAGCTGATCTGAGTGGCCTAGATCTAACTCAAATACCACTTGCTTTACCAATGACTTAGTGATCGAGGATGATTTAAAAATAATCGTGCCTAAAACTGTCTTCCCATATTAACCCAAATATATATGGTCAATTAATATATGATAAAGGAGCCATGGACATACAATGGGGAAATGACAGCCTCTTCAACAGCTGGTGTTGGCAAAACTGGACAGCTACATGTAAGAGAATGAAACTGGATAATTGTCTAACCCCATACACAAAAGTAAATTTGAAATGGATCAAAGACCTGAATGTAAGTCATGAAACCATAAAACTCTTAGAAAAAAACATAGGCAAAAATCTCTTGGACATAAACATAAGCGACTTCTTCATGAACATATCTCCCTGGGCAAGGGAAACAAAAGCAAAAATGAACAAGTGGGACTATATCAAGCTGAAAAGCTTCTTCTGTACAGCAAAGGACACCACCAATAGAACAAAAAGGCATCTTACAGTATGGGAGAATATATTCATAAATTACAGATCCGATAAAGGGTTGACATCCAAAATATATAAAGAGCTTACGCACCTCAACAAACAAAAAGCAAATAATCCAATTAAAAAATGGGCAGAGGAGCTGAACAGGGAGTTCTCCAAAGAAGAAATTCAGATGGCCAACAGACACATGAAAAGATGCTCTACATTGCTTGTCATCAGAGAAATGCAAATTAAAGCCACAATGAGATATCACCTCATACCAGTAAGGGTGGCTACCACCCAAAAGACAAACAACAACAAATGTTGGCAAGGTTGTGGAGAAACAGGAACCCTCCTACACTGCTGGTGGGAATGTAAATTAGTTCAACCATGTGGAAAGCTGCATGGAAGTTCCTCAAAATGCTCAAAATAGAAATACCATTTGACCCAGGAATTCCACTTCTAGGAATTTACCCTAAGCATGCAGCACTCCAGTTTGAAAAAGACTGATGCACCCCTGTGTTTAACGCTGCACTATTTACAATAGCCAAGATATGGAAGCAACCTAAATGTCTATCAGTAGATGAATGGATAAGAAGATTTGGTACATATACACAATGGAATATTACTCAGCCATAAGAAGAAAACAGATCCTGCCATTTGCAACAACATGGATGGAGCTAGAGGGTATTATGCTCAGTGAAATAAGCCAGGCGGAGAAATACAAGTACCAAATGATTTCACTCATATGTGGAGTATAAGAGCAAAGAAAAAACTGAAGGAACAAAACAGCAGCAGAATCACAGAACCCAACAATGGACTAACAGTTACCAAAGGGAAAGGGACAGGGGAGGATGGGTGGGAAGGGGAGGATAAGGGGGCAAAAAAAGAAGGGGCATTACGATTAGCATGTATAATTTGTGGGGGCACGGGGAGGGCTGTGTAACATGGAGAAGACAATTAGTGATTCTACAGCATCTTACTACGTGGATGGACAGTGACTGTAATGGGGCATGTGGTGGGGGATTTGGTAATGGGGGGAGTCTAGTAAACATAATGTTCTTCGTGTAATTGTAGATTAATGATACCAAAATAAATTTTTTAAAAAACTGTCTTCCCTCGCTGATTTTTGTCTCTCAGGCCATTAAACAGCAAAAAGTTTGTGTAGTCTTTGACAATAGCCTTGTTGAGAATCCAGTTACCTAAAGCAACCAGAGAAATGCTACCTGAGACAGATTTTTACATGCAAGGAAAACTTTGGGGACTAAAACAGGTGCCCTGAAGTTAACTGGCTTCTTTGGAAAGTAGTGCTAACACATCTCATGTGTGCGTCGAAGCCTCCCTTCCTCTTGATACCCATCACTGGCTCAAAATGCCCTCTGGGTATCTGCTTTGAACCAAGGGTAAAAGCAGAGCTACAGCTAGGGTTCTTGTTAGGAAAGTTGTCCAGAGATGTGGCATTCCAGACTCCATAGTGTCTACTCAGGGAACAGATTTCATAGCTTCTGTAATCCAAGTGAGCCTGTGAGTGGATGGATTCTTTATCTTGTCTGGCAGCCCAAGCAGGGTGGTGGGGCTGAAAAATGGAATGGCTCCCACCTCTATTCACAGTTCAACACACCATTTATATCTTCATTTTACTAAATATTTGATATGTTTTTTATTATCCAAACTTATGGAAAATACTTGGTTTGTTTCTAGCCTCCCTTCCAGTCCATTCACCTTGCTCCCTGGCCATGTCTCAGGGCTGCCCTGCAAGTGGAGGCTGGAACAATCACCTTCCCGCCTTCCTGAAAGTAGGCTTTTCTGTACAGAATGGGTAACAGCCTGGGGGACTCAAGTGGGTCCATGGGTTAGTCTTCGTCTGAGTCACTGGGGCCCATGTACTGGCAGACAGCATCGTAGTGAAGCTCTACCAGCTGATTCTCTTTCCGTAGCTGCACCAGAGCCTGGCTCCGCTCTCTGTCCCGGCCCAGCAAATGGCCCACCTAGAGCAGGGGCAGCTGGAGTCAGCAAGGCCAACACAGACCCTGGGACATTCCCTGCATGCCCCCACCCCCATTCTCAGGTCTGGGACTCACCCTTCCAGCCTGTGGTCCCAATACCACCATCACCCGGTTGCCCTTGACCTTGGGCACCAGGGTCTCCAGCATGTCTTCCCTCAGGCCTGCAGGCAAGGACAGAGAGTGAGGCCTGCAGCCAGGGCCAGCCCAGCCAGCATTCTGTCAGAAGGGCCTTTCCTGTATTCCCCAGAGCCACTGTGCACGCTGCTGACAGATGGGAGGCCCACCACACCCATTTCACAGCTAAGGAAACCTAAAGAGCAGCTCCTAGAAATAACTATAATAGAGGGAGCATTTCTGTTTGATGATGATGGATGGGGGTGGTAAAAGCCAATTATTGCAGGTATGTCACATGCCCTGCCCTGCACAGGGAGCTCAGTACACATCCCTACAAGGCTCCATTCATGGGAGGGCAGAAGAGGTCATTTCCATACAAATTTTACAGATGGGGAAAGGGGCTCAGACAATCCACAGGAATGCCTAATGTTCTATTAAAGCATGCTGGGTCTTACAAAAAACCTGAACTCTGCCCAACCTTCCAGCCTCTTGGCCTAAGACAGCCTTCTTGATCAGCCTCCAGGCTGGTAATGACCCAACAGACACCCATGACTCACCTTCCAGGATCTGGTCTTCATCTGTCCGACACACACAGGTATCTGGGCTGAGGACATCTTCAATTGTCATCTGGGGAGAGTGTCAGGGGATGTGAGAATGTTAGAGAATTAAGGGAGCCTAATCCCTGGGGGGATAAAAGGGACTTAGGTTGTGGGGTTCCCACCTTCGTGTTGTAATACTGGCCGCCCTTGTGCAACTTGTCCACAAATCTCACGCGCAGGTCCCTATGCAGCCAGTGCTGACTCCTGGGTGCTGCTTTCTCACTCTTGGGTGCAGGCCCATCTTGTCTGTGGAGAGGGGGCCAACAGCGGGTTAGTCAGACACATGTTCTGCTCACCCCACCTTTGCCAATGCTGAGAAACACCCATAATGCTGTTCCTACTTCCTTCTATGCTCTTGCCTTGCCCTGGAAGCCTTCTTTGACTGCTGGAGCCTCCCCACAGCCCCGCCCTCTTCCCTCATCCCAGATGCCCAGGGTCCCACCGGTCCAGAAAGTGTTTCCGCTTCCTCTCTGAGTCCTCCCGCCAGACGTGGGGGTCCTGATCACGGATGCCCTTGCATGATGAAGCTGTTCCATTCTGTTGCCCTGGGGAAGTTTTGCTCACCTGGCCTGTGTGCAGGGGGGTGTGAAGAGAACCAAAAAGGGGCCTTAGTTCTCTCTCTCTCTTTCTTTCCAGGTCACATCTCAGCCTCAGGTCACCTCCCATCTGCCAACATCTCCCCTCTTACCATCACACCTTTGCCTAGGCTATTAGAATGCTCTCCCCTTTCTCTCATTTGTCCTGGCCTCCTTCAGGAAACCTTTCTCAACCACTCCAGCCCATGCTGACAGTGCTTATCTAGGTCAACCGTGTAGTGTGGGCGGGGGAGTCCTGGAGAGCTCTGTTGCCAAACTGACCCTCTTACTGACATGTCTACAGTGCCTTCCTCCCCGGTCATGCCCTAGTCCTGGCTGCTCTCACTCCTTAGCAAAAGAGAGGTTCATCACTCCAAAAAGACAAAGGCTTCCTGAGGGTAGGAATTGGTTTCCACACCTGTTTCTTCTCCCTCAGAAAGAGGCTAAAGACCCAGGGTTACTATATCAGCCTTTTTTCAATCAAACTGAATAAACCACTTATCTTCATTCTTATCTCTTGACCTCTGACCAGAAGTCACATGTCTCTTCTGCAGATCTAGCCCTCATCCTGAGATAGGCCATACCACCCCTAGAATGCTTCTCCAACTCCCCCAGCTAGTTAAGAGGCTCACTCACCGAAGTCTAAGGAGTTCTTGTCAAACTCTTTCTTGGAGACAGACCGCAGGCAGTACTCACTAACAGTCACCACGCGGCTCCCCACAGCCAGACGAACCATGGCTCGAACATTGTCAGGATCAAGGCCTTCCACCTAAAGTGTTGGTAGGAAGAAGTTAGGTAGAGGGTGGGTAGATTCGACCCACACTCCTAGGACCAAGCTGTTCCCCTTTACCTCCAATAGGCCTGACTCTGGTGACTTCCCCAGCTGACTGTGACCCCTGTGGGCAGGGAACAGTCCTGGTCTCTGTCTCCCTCAGCAGACTGTGGGGTATGGACATATTTTAAGCATTTAATCCTTGGGGACTTATGGCATGTGGCATTCTCTCTCTTTTAGTTGGAAACTGAGGCTCACAAAGGCCCAGCAAGTGGTCCTGAGTTACTGAATGAGCAGTGAGCCAGGAAGACCCATAAGACAAGGGCTTCTAGACTTTCTACCCCAAACCTAATTCTCTTCCCTCTGACCCGCATAGCAATCCTCCCTGATGCCTGTTTTGGACTCCAGGCATATCTTGGTTCCTTACCTTCCCATAGAGGCCTCGATGAGGGCCAGAAAGTACCACCACAGCTCTTCCAGGCACCAGTCCTTGAGATTGGTCTTCCTTGTCCTTCTTTTGTTCCTCGTCTGGCCTCGGCAGGTAGTGGGGGCTGGTGGGGGCCAGAGTCTGGACCTCAGTCAGGCTGGCACCCAGCCCTAACCCCTTGGGCCTCAGTGAGTTGACACGGGGCTTCACCACTCTGCAGGGAGCACAGAATATTGGCTTGTTGGGGGATGCAATGGTCTTCAGTGCCCCTAACCTCCCATCCAAATCCCACCCTATCAATATATTCAAGAATATATTTCCTAATCTCATATTAGAACTACATTTGACCTATAGCAATGGCAATTTCATTTGGTTCAACCTAATGACATGCTGCATATACCATCTTTTATATAGCACCTACAGTGGGATCTGAGGCAGATCCCTTTAACTAAATACCCTGATATTTCTATAGGGGATATCATGCAAATATTCAGCCAAGCAGGAGAAATAGACTATAAAACGCTCAATGTCAATTCATGACCCATTTGGCTGCTATATGGCTATGAAAAAAAAGTTTTGTTTTCAGAATTCTTTGGAGTTTACAACTGTGGAGAAGGGTTTGGAAGTCCATGTGATAATAGCAAATGTTTAGTCTATCCTTATTTGGGGCCAGGACCTACTGTACTTTGTGTGTGTAATTTCACTTAACTCTCACAATAGACCTGGGAAATCAGTATTGTTATTATTCCCATTTTTCAGGTGAGGAAGCTGATGCCCAGAGAGGCAGTCTTTACATAAATGGGATCACATTATGGAGTTTCAAAGGATAGGTAGGAGGTTGAAACAGCAGTGGAAGGGCCTACTGAATTACTTAGGGTGGTAATGTGTCCTGTCCCTGTTTGGATGGTTCTGCATGGGTGGTTCACTACCCCATCTGCTGTCCCCTTGCCCTTATCCTAGAACTCACTGATTGAAGGTGCAGCCAATGCCCTCGCCAGGTTTCCAGCCCATGCCCCGCAGCATGGCCAGCCCGTAGGCCTCCACAGGGATAGCCTCATAATCGGCCTCCTCTGGCACCTAAGGGTTCAGGGAGAGGAAAGACAGTTAGGCTTGGCTTACAGTAGGCCCTCTCAAGTGTTCTTGCTATCACCCACTGGGTAACCTGTGATGGTTCTTTTTCAGTCAGCTCAAGGGTGATTTTTGATTTCCTCTTGCCATCCCTCACTTTATTCCTCCACGTTCAGTCTTTCAACAAATACTTATAAAGCACCTATTCTGTGCCAGGTACTGTTCTAGGTGCTGGGAATAAAGCAGTGAATAAAACAGACAAAAACTGCCCTTGTGGAGCTTACAATAAATAAAATTCTAGTTCTAGTTATGGAGACACACAATAAATAAAATACATAAAATATGATATGTCAAGTGGTGATAAGTTATATGAAGAAACTAAAGTAGGTTAAGGGGATGCAGAGGGATGGTGAAGGGAGTGGCACTGAGTTGATATTTGAGCAGAGATCAGAAAAGGAAGCCATGAGGACCCAGTAACTCTAGTTCTAGGAATTTACCCAAAGAAAACAAAATCTCTGATTAGGAAAATATATGCACCCCCTATGTTTATTGCCACATTATTTATAATAGCCAAGATATGGAAACAACCAAAGTGTCCATCCATAGATGAACGAATCAAGAAGATGCGGTACATATACACAATGAAATATTATTCAGCCATAAAAAAAGGAAAGGAATTCTGCCATTTGCAACAGCATGGATAGACCTAGAGGATATTATACTAAGTGAAATAAGCCAGGTAAAGAAAGACAAATACTATATGATTTCACTTATTTTTGGAATATATAAACAAAACAAAACAAAATGAACAAAATAGCCATTGATTCATAGATACTGATAAGTGATTGGTAGTTATCATGGGAGAGGGGTTGGGGTGGCTGGGTGGGGAGGGTGAGGGGGATAAAGAGGCACAGAATCTCAATATAACATAAGTTGGTCACAGGGATGGTAGTATAACATGGAGCATATAGCCAATGATTCTATAACATCTTTCTATGTTGACAGATAGTAACTACACTAGTTAGGGTGAGGACTGAGGATTTAATAATGTGTGTAACTGTTGAATCACTGTGTTGTCTACTTGAAACCAATATAATATTGTATATAAACTATACTTCAATAAATAAGTTAATTTAAAAAAAGAAAAAAAGAAAAGGGAGCTGTGAGGATATGAGAAGGAAGACTGTTTCAAGCAGAAGACAGTAAAAACAAAGAAAGGCCCTTGGGCAGAACAAGATTCGGTACATGTGAAGAGTATTGTGAAAGTAAACCTGACTGAAACAGACACAGCAGCTGAGAGGTGTGTTAAGAGATTAATTGGGAGAGCTGGGCAGGAGGTACAAGAGGGTGGCAGCCACAAGGAGGACAAGTGAGGAAGTTACTGCAATAGTCCAGATGAGACAAGCTGGTGACTCAGACCAGAGTGGTGGTAGCAGTGACTGTGAGAGGTGTGTCAGATTCTGGATGTACTCTGTAAAGGGAGATGATAGGACTGTGCTGATAGACTGAATAATAAAGAGGGGAGTCAAGGGTGACAGAGGTTTTTAGGATGAGTGAGAGGAAGGATGGTGGGAACTATGGTCAGTCACAGTGTGGAAGGCTGCAAGAAGAGGGACATTAGAGAAATGAGGCCAAAGCTGGAACAAGATGGAGAGTGGACTGAAAGCCATTTTTAAAATTTCTGAGATCAAAGAAACCAGAGGACATCTGAAGGCTGATGAGAACAGTTCAGTTGAAAGAGAGGGTGGTCTGCGACTGCTGGAGTACTAGGATCCAAAGAAGCATTACAAAAAAACTGTGACTGAAGGGGTGAAAAGTGGGGCCCATAGGTATGAAAGACAGACTTGGTTACTTCTGTAAACACACCTCACCTTTCCTGTTATCATGTGTCATCACTGCCTCCTTAATTCTTTATACTCACTCTAGACACACCATACAGCTTTCCTGCTGCCATGCCATTGCTTGGGTTGTTGACGCTGTTAGGAATACTAACTCTTCTTCTCTTCCTTTTCTCACTAAACCCTACCTGTCCTTCCAGGCCTCACGCCTACCACTCAGGTCTGAGTCTCCATCGTTTCTAGCCTGACAACTGGTCTCCTTGCTTCCATGTTTGCTTACTAGTCTGTTCTGTTCACAGCAGCCAGAGAGATCCTGTCAAATCATAAGTCTTGTCCTTTCTCTGCTCAGAGCACTCTGGTGGCTCTCATCTCTTTCAGAGTAAAAGTCAAAGTCTTTACCATGGCCCACAAGATTCTGCCTAATTTAACATCCCCACTTTTGACCTCATCAACTACCCTTCCCCTCACTCATTCCACTCCAGCTTCATTGGTCTTCTTGTTGCTATTCAAACATTCTAGGCAGAGTCTACCCTCTGGACCTTTACACATCCTGTTCCCTTTGCTCCCCATCTCATTCAGATAATCCCAAAATCCAAGTACTTTTTCACACTGCGGTATCTGAATTAATTTGTTAGTGCTTGCAAAAAGGGTGGAAGGAGGAAGGGATAGGCAATGGGCCTCTAGCACACACATAGATATTCCCTGCTGTGTGCAGGAAGGCAAGCCTGACAGACAGGGCAAAGAGAGGTTCAGGTAGGAGGAAGGGTTAGGGGCCAGCTCACTGTGTCAGCCTGGGGTTCGCTGTCTGCTCCTTCCCTGTTGGGGGAGCATCCTTTCTTGATCATGGGGATAGCGAGTGTGGGGTTGACACCTGCATTCTCTCTCTCCTCCAAAGACTTCTTGGATTCTAAGGAAGAATGGAAGGGAGCAATGAGGTCCCACTCTATCCTATCCTTTCATTTTCCTCCCCTTCTTCCTTCATTAGGGCAAGGTAAAGGAGGGATCACTCACCCTCACTGAGCTCCTTCACAGCCTGGGACAGCACACCATACACCAAGGCCTTAGTATCTGTGGATGACCCAGGGGCATGGGTCGGTTGCAGCCTGTGATGGACACTCTGGATCAAAGGTATGATGAGTTCCTTGGGGGCTTCTGAGGGCTTCACACTGATGTGGAAACACAGGGGTGAAGTTGGGAGAGTAGTCACTGGACTCTGAGCCATACCCATTCATTCAGGGAAAACACAGAACTCACTCACTCTCACAAGCATGGACCATGCCCTTCCTTCTGTCTGACTCTCCTATTCTGGCTCTTATGGTGATTTCTTTGGATTCTCCCCCATCCCCAACTCTTAAATGTCTGAGTCTTTAAGGAATCGGTCCTCAGTCCTGGATCCTCTGTTCATCACAAAATCCATTTCCATGGCTTCCACAATGACTCACAAGTCACCATCTTCAGCCCAGGTCCAGGTTCCATACCGGTCATCTGGATGGTTTGATTTTCTTCTGGAAGTCCCTCTCTTCAACTCTCCTTTCCGAATTAAGCTGACGATGGCTTCCCTCAACCTGAATCTGCCGCTCCATCCCGTTCGCCATATCGGAGAAGCCCCACCACTTCAGTTGAGACACTAGGGGTCCTGTAATTCGCCTCTCTTTTCCTACTCTCATAACGCAACACATCTCAGGGTCTCCAAGTCCTAAAGACACACCCTCTCAGGAATACATCCTCTCTTCTCAACTCCCACGGCTATCAGGTCAAATATCTCCACCTCTCCTACAAACTCCAGCCTTCCCACCTCCACGAATTTCCTCAGGCTGTGCTTCAGGCTTTCCAGGCCACTGTCACCAAAACAGACAACTCACATTCTACCCTCCCGCTAGCACCCACCCCACCGATTTTCAAGGGATTAAAGACCCAGCGCTTCACCTCTGCAACTCCCTTCCTTCCACGGTCTTCAAGAAATACTTCTCCTCAGGAGCCGCACCAGCGCCATCCCCCTGGTCGGCCAGCCGTCTTAGGGCGGACGTGCGACTGAAGCTGAATGAAATCGGGGCAGTGTTGACTCCTGCCTGCCGCAAAACACCCTCACCGGCGTCTGCCATCTTGCTCCTTTTCAGAGGTCGGCGCGCTGCTTGCTGGGAAATTTAGTTTGGGCTCGGCTTGCTGGAGGCAGATGTCGAGCACTAGAACTACCTTTCCCTTAAAACACTGCGGCATGGGCCGACGAAGGAGGCTAAAGGACCGTAGGAAGTAATTGTCGCTCTTTTTAGTTGAAGGAGTGCGTCGGGCCAAGCGTACAGGGAAATGTAGTTCTTCAGCGAGGTAGGCGTGGTAGAAGGTGAAATCATTCTTACCACGTAGTCATTTCTTTCTGTAGGCGTTTGACAACTATTTATTAATTGCCTCCTGTGTGCGTGTTACTGTGCCGTATGATGTGCGAAGAGTTAGGTAAAATAAATCATTGAGATTTAATACTCCACAAGTTGTGGAATCAGGTATTAATGAAATAGATCTCTTACTCTCTAGAGCTCATAATCCAGTGGAGAGCAATGACACTTAAGCGGATTATTTTTTTAATTCAAGTATCATTGATATACAATCTTATGATGGTCTCACATAAACAACACAGTGGTTTCCACGTTCACCCATATTATCAAGTTCTCACCCTCTCCATTGTGGTCACTGTCTATCAACGTGGTAAGATGTTACAGTCATTGTCTTCTCAGTGCTGTACTGCCTTGCCCATCACCTACCTATATTGTGATTGTGAATTATAGTTCCCCTTAATACCCTTATTCCTCCCCAGCCCTTCCCCTTCAGTAATGACTAGTCCCTTCTTGGAGTCGGTGAGTCTTTTCTTAAGCAGATATTTTTTAAAAATAGTTCCTACCAATAAATGTGAGAGATAGGTACTAAGACTTCAAAAGATTATTGAGGCAGAATCCTCTTGTTTAGGACCTCAAGAGTTTTTAAAGTAGAAGACTGATACTTACATAGTCAACAAGCAGGTGTACAACAAATCTGCTAAAAATTCATCCCAAGGAAATCAACAAAGATGTGCGAAAAGATTTTTATATGAGATTCATCATAGTATAATTTATTGTAGCAAAAACTCGAAGACCACTTCAAAAGAAGGGAATGGAGTAAATGAATAATAGCACATACCTTGGATGGAACAAATATACTAGAATCTTCTAATGTGAAGCTATAAATATAATTAAGTGAAATGGGAACACAGTCACAATGTTTGTAAAGTAGATTAATAAGGGAGGTTAGAGGATGGTCTTGAAAACAGGAAGCCCAATATTGCATCAATCTTGTGGCCAATGCTTCCAGGTTTAGAAACTGGGCATCCTGGAATGGGCCCTTAATCTGAAGTGCAAAGCCACTGCAGTTTTCAATATACAACAAAAATGTATACATTTTTATTTTGAAATAATTTGAGTTAAATGTTATAAAACTAGTACAGAGTTCCTCTATTTTCTTTACCTAGATCTTCCTAAACATTTTACATAACAACAATATAATTATCAAAATCAGGAAATTAACACTGGTGCAATTCTACAAACTATACTCCATGTTGTGTCACAGGGTTCAATCTAGGATTACACACTGCGTATAATTGCAATGCCTCCTTAGTCTTCTCCAGTCTGTGACAGTTTCCAGTCTTTCCTTGTCTTTCAAGACTTTAACACTTTTGAAAAGTTCAGTTCAGTTATTTTGTAGAATGTCCCTCTATTTTGGCTCCTCTAATGATGTCTCACGATGAGACTGAAGTTATGGATCTTTAAGTAAGAATGCCACAGAGACTGGGCATCCTGGAATGGGCCCTTAATCTGAAGTGCAAAGCCACTGCAGTTTTCAATATACAACAAAAATGTATACATTTTTATTTTGAAATGCCCCTCTCCTCACATCGTATCAGGAAGTTCATGATTCTTATTACTAAAGATGTGAACATGGCTTGGGAGGAAAACTGTCCACTACCTGACAACTGCAAGACAACTTTCATGCAAGGTACACCTGGTCACTGGCCAAACAACAAGAGCAAAGACAGTCAGTCCTCCAGGAAAAAAAAAAAGTAACCTGTGAAAACCACATTGTAAAATAAAACACAACTTTCAACCCTGGAAGCATATCCATCATGCTATTCAGGATTTTTCTTTTCTTTTGCTCTCAAGAACACCTCTGAGGTGTAGGATCCCAATGATGTAAATGCTGTAAGGGTGAATGAACCTCCTTCAGGGAACCCAACCTCTTTTTATGCTAAGAAATTATGGTCTTTCCTAACACACATTTTTGACTAAATACTTTCCACAACAAAATAACAATGTCTGCTGTTGCCACTTCTATTCAATATTGTACTTAAAGTTCTAGCAAAGGAAATTTGGGAAGAAAATAAATAAAAGGCACCCAGATTAAAGGGGAAGAGGTAAAACCATCTCTATTTGCAGATGACATTATATAGAAAATCCTAATAAATCCACTAAAAAGCTATTAGAACTCATGAACAAGTTTGGTAAGGTTACAGAGGATCAATATAAAGAATGAATTTTATTTCTATAGATAAATAAAAATGAAAGAATATAATTCCATTTACAATAGCCTCAAAAAAATAAAATGCTTAGGAATAAATTTAACAAAATAAGTGTAAAAATTGTACTCACAAAACTACAAAACATTGTTGAAAGAAAATAAAGGTAACCTAAATAAATGGAGAGATATCCAATATTAACTCAGGGCTTGAGCTGGATTCTCAGCTCCGATCCTTCGCCACCACCCTTTCCCGCTGAATCCACGCCCCCAATTTCATTAAGGGGGTCTCCAGCGTCTTGGACTGTTCAAGCTCCCCAAAAGTACACAAAAGTTTTTCAGACCTTCCTGTATCTGTCATGCTAGGAATCCGCATGGAAGGCAAGGTAGCCTAGGGACACCCGACTATGCAGGACATTATTTGTCCTGCCAGTCTAACAAGCTAACCGCTGGAATATGGAATACGCTAAGAAAGCTGTGAGTGACTCTAGGAATAAACTACGTAGGCCCGGCCACTTAAATTAACATTCAATTCTCGCCAATTTGACCCTACATCCAGGTTTCTTCCACCATTTAATTACCTTGATAGTACACCCTCAAGTAGTGGTCCAGACTCCGCCTATACCAATCAACGACCACATCCTGCCTTCTTAACTACTACTACTGGAATAAAACACCAAGCCCTCCTACCTACCTCTAACAACACGCAGAACCCGCCCCTCCAGTAACACCCTGAGGCCCACCAGGGAAGCCCACCCGGGATTCAGCTCCTGAACATTCCAGACCCGCCCTCTAATTAGCCTAGAAACCTCCAGTCAGTCCTCACAATTTCGAGCCCTGCCCCCTAGTACGTTTGTAGGCTCCAGCCGCCAGACTGGCACTCCAGGCCCGCCCCTTAGTCAAGTGCCCGCCCCGGCGCTCTGCAGGCCCCGCCTCCTCAGAAACGCCTTTCGACGCCCCGCCCACAGGGATGCCGACCCAGTCCGGCACTCACAACTCACGTGGCAACATTCACCTATTGCAAAGACCCGCCGGGTGTGTCATCTCCTTATAAGAAAATTCTAGGATACCCCCACGGCCCCGCCCACTCGATTCTCCCTCCGAGCCCCGCCCTCCCGAGCCACGACCATTGGGGGAGAAACCAACAATTACGGGTCCCCGTCAGAACCCAGCTCCACCCCCGCCCCCCGGGGAGGCCCCGCCCCCGACACGCACCCTCCTTGGAGCGCAGGCGCAATGTGGTGCCCGTCCTGCGTACCAGCGCCGCCACGTCGGCCGCAGCTCGCGCAGCCAGGGGACGTCAGTCCAGCCGTGCCAGGAGCTGCCGGGCCCTAGGGCCTGCGGGCTGGCGAGGGCCCCGGCCTGCGCGGGTGGGAAGAACAGATCAGCGCCCACTCTCAGCATCGGCAAACCCCCAGCTCCCTGACGCCCGAAGACGCCGAATGCCCGCCCCTCAAGATCTTCGGAGACCCCCGGACCACTCCCTCCCCCGGCAGTTCCGGAGGTGGCCGACTGTGCCCCTCATCTCCCGCCACCCCGGAAAGTCGCGCGTGGGCCCGTGCACCCCGTCGGCCCCCACGATATCCCAGGAGATAGCCATTGGCTCGCAATATTCCTGGACACCTCCGAACGCCTGTGAATAACCCTGGAGGTCCCCGACTGCCCCCTCAGAACCCCAGATTCCAAACTCTTCCCCCACAATGTCGAGAGGGACCCCAGTTCCCCCAGGTGTACCGACAGAATACGGTCTGCCCCACTGTGGCCCGGCACCCCCGATTCCCTTTCCAGATACCCTAGGCAACCCTGATGGCCCATGCAGCCTCACATTGCCCCTCCACACATCCCCAGAGGCCCCTGCTTAAATCCCCACAATTAAGTCACCACAGACCCTGAGGCCTAGGTGGTCCTAGTGACCCCCGGCAGACCCCTCCGGCACACCTCCCGGGAGACTCGTAAGAGCCCCCCGGGTCTGGTGTTCCGCCCCGCGGCGCACGTGCAGATAGGGGACCTCGAGCCCAGCCCGGGTCGCCGGGCCCCTGCCCCCGGTCGCCGCCACCGCCGCCGCCGCTTGGGCTCCAGTGCTGCTTTGTTTGCCACCTGTCGGAAGGAAAAGCTGAGGAGCAGACAGGCGGAGCGAGGAGTGGCAGGGACGCGCCCACTCCCTCCCCGCCTCCCCCTACCTCCTCTGCTTCCCCTGGGGTCTGTGGCGCCCCCCGCGCGCGGCTCCATGACCCGTGGTCTGGAGGGTGGACGCACGGCCGCCAGCGACGTGTTTGGAGCTCTGGGTGCGCTCACCTGGCGGCCTGCCCGGGCCTCAACGCGGCTGAGGCGGGCCGGTCCCGTGCCCGGCGTCCCGACCCGCGCGGTGACCTACCTGGCGGCTGGCAAGCAGGCCTGGCTGCGGGAGCCAGCGCGAGCGCTTGGCCTCGCTGTCTCAGGCGCCTCTCTGTTCTCCCAGGACGCTGAGCTGGGGCTCTTCTGTCCACCCGGGGGATGTTATTTCAGGTGTGAGGAAAGGGAAGTCGAGGCCCAGAGAAGTGAAGGGCCCCACCTGAGCTCTGTCATCTAAGAACCGGGCATGCACATCCGGAGCCCAGGTTTCATCAGGGAACTCTGCCGCTTCCAACAGAGCTTTGCACATGGTAGGCGCTCAGTAAATGTGCAGTGAGTGTTCGCCTAAGCCGGTTCCTGCTGGGGAACTGAAAGAATCCGGTGAGCTGGGGAGGGGCTGCCTTTGGAGCCTTGAGGGCCATGACAGGGTTTGGGGCCCTGAGCCTGATAGGGTTGGGGGACTCAGAAGGCAGGGAAGGGCAGGTCCCCTTGAGAGTGGAAGGGGGGGTTCCTGGACTTGAAGAGGCTTTGAAGATACCTGGATGGGTGTGGGGTGCCAGACAATGAAAGAGGAGAAAGGAGGCCTGTGGTAGGTTTGAAAAGGGCGGTGGGAGTTGGGGGTGGGATCTAAGGGCACAGACCCCAGTGGAGGAGGGCTTGGGCACAGTGTTGCTGTAGTGGAAGGACGAATGGGGAGCAGTGAGAGACAGCCTGGGACCACCACTCTGTGGAGGAAGAAGCTGAGGGCAGGAGGTCTCAGACAACTTCCCAGGACCCCACAGCTCCCCGAACAACGACCTAGGTCTCAGGCAGCTTACCCCAACACTCACTTGGTCTCTGACTGTTTCACTATGGGCCCTGTTACACTCTGGCCTGTGCCCTGACGCCCATTCTGGCTCGCTGCGCAACCTCTCTCACCCACCTTTCAGGGTCCCAGTGTTGTCATAGGTGAAAGGGGTGAATGGTACCTGCTCTCATTCCTCCTGCCATCCTCTGCCTCTCTCCCCACTCTGACCTGACCTTGTCTGAAGGGGGTCAGGCTTGACCTTCTTCATTGGCTCTGCCCTTTTCTTGTGGTGACCACATAGGGCTGTCACAGCTCCCCAAATATGCCCGTTGTTTTTCCCACCTCCCTGCTTTTGCCTGTGTTATGCCTTCTTTCTGGGATGCCCTTACAGACTTTTGTCTGCCTGGAAGGTGACTGTAGGGCCAGTTCAGAGGCTCCCACCCTCCATTCTTCCATTTCTGAAAAAACGACAGCAAAAGCAGAAGATGGATGATTGAGTATATAGAACTGTAAAACAAAATGCTTCTGTTTGTGGAATAGTCCAGGCTGATATCTTTTCCTGCGTCTTCCCAAGAAACTGGAATGAAGAGAAAAACCAATGTTGCACCCTTGGCTCCCATGTCCTGTTTTCCACTAGAAAGCCTTCCCATTCTCTCCTTCAGGTTCCACTCTCCTCACACTCTCCTTGGGGACTTTACCAATCCTATAGGACAGTGCTGGTCATCAGGATCACTAGCTTCTCTGGGCTCTATCTGCACTGGGATCCACTCTGTCCCTCTTGGCCGTCCTGGGAGTCTAGCTGCTGTCTGTGCTCCCAAGGGTCCCCAGCAGAAGTTGGCCGTTCCTGTCCACCTTCTCTTCAGGGAAGCCAGGATGCTTTCTTTGCATTATGCTGTGTAAACCTCTTACTTATGATTTGTGGAATGAGAAATAAGCCAACTCAAGGTACAACTGTTTTCCTAGTTTTACAGAGTGGTAGATGGAGGCCTAGAGAGGCTAAATAACTTTCCCAAGGTTGCAACAGCCAAAAAGCAATGGAGCTAGAATTTGCACCAGATGTTCCTAGCTTCACAGACTGCACTCAAGTATCACACTATTCCACCTCTCTTGAACTGCATGTGGGCTCTCTGTCTGGCTGCCCAAATGTGTCTCAACCTGAGTCTGGGGTTAGGTAGGGGAAGGTTGAGACATCCTGTACTACAGTTCTCTTCTATATAATTCTCATATATTTGTGCATTCCACAGATATTCTCTGCCACCTATTCAAAGCCTAGCCCCATGCCAAGGCCAGCTGAGTACATGGTGCTGGAATGGCTTTCAGCTTTACCATTGGCAGGTACCCTGTCTGGAGAGAGAGGCTCCACCAGACACTGACACACACGTTGACAACACAGTGTGGTCAGGGTGGGATCTGCCTGCCTTGTAGGTTTGTGTGGAAATGTACTTGTCATAGTAGGAGGGTACATCATGTTTTATTTAAGTTACCTTGATTGATTACTTTTAGACATTTGCCTAATAATATGTGGACCTCCATTTGTATCTTCACCCTTTGCCTCACAAATGTTATGGGTGGGCCTGGTCAACCTCAAAAACAAAGAGGGAGGACATAAATTTCAAAATTTTGTGACATGCTACAAAGGCATAGTAATAAAAAGAGTGTGGACCTGGGCATGGATTAGACAGTCCAGATAATCAAAGAGGTACTGGGGTTTCAGAAACAAAATAGGTATGTACAGGAACTCAATACATTATGTAGGTGGTACTACAAATCAATTGAGAAGGGACAGAATCTTTAGTATATGGTGCTAGGAAAATCAGTTCACTTTAATTTCAGTGACATGCCACCTCACACCCACTAGAGTGGCTAGTATGAAAATGGAAAAGAGCAAGTGCTGGTTAGGATGTAGACAATTTGGAGCCCTTGTGCATTGCAGTGGGAATATAAAATGGTACAGCTACTGTGGAAAACAGTTTGGTGGTTCCCCAAAAAGTTGGCTATAAACTTACATATGATCCAGCAATTCCATCCTAGATATATACTCAAGAGAAATGAAAGCAGAGACTCACACAGATACTTGTGCAAATGTTCATAGTGGCACTATTCCCAACAGTCAAAAGGTATAAACAACACAAATGTCCATTGAGGGATAAGCAAAATGTGGTGTTATATCCACAATAGAATATTATTCAGCCTTAAAAAGGAATGTAATTCTGATGCATGGAACAACATGAATAAACCTTGAAGACTTTATGCTGAATGAAATAAACCAGTCACAAAAGGACAAATAGTGTTTGATTACATGAGGTACTTAGACTAGGCCAATTCGCAGAGGCAGACAGTAGAATAGAGGTTACCAGGGGCTGGGGGAAAGGGGGAATAGGAGTATTGTTTAATGGGTACAGAATGTCTATATCCATGGAAGGGGCAGGACTGAAATATTTAAAAGGAGCAAGGCTTTTAAATTTACATCCAGGAAGATGGCAGTGAAGGGGCGAGACTCAAATAAGTGAATGGGTAGTATTTATGAGGTATATTGGCCTAAATCAAAGAAGGTATGGGGCCAAGATGGGGATGATAGCAATACAGTTGACCATTGAATTATATGGGTTTGAACTGCGTAGGTCCACTAATATGTGGAGTTTTTTCAATAATATATTGGAAAAGTTTTTGGAGATGTGATAATTTGAAAAAAACATTTTCTCTAGCTTCTTTTATTGTAATATAGAATGTAATACATATAACATATAAATAATGTATTAATGAACTATTTATGTCATCAGTAAAGCTTCTGGTCAATAGTAGGCAATAAGTAGTTAAGTTATGGGGAATCAAAAGTTATGTGGATTTTTTTTTTTGAGAGGGCATCTCTCATTTATTGATCAAATGGTTGTTAACAACAATAAGATTCAGTATAGGGGGGTCAATGCTCAATGTACAATCATTAATCCATCTCAAGCCTAATTCTCGTCAGTCTCCAATCTTCTGAAGCATAACGAATAAGTTCTTACATGGTGAACGAATTCTTACATAGTGAATAAATTCTTACATGGTGAACAGTACAAGGGCATTCATCACAGAAACTTTCGGTTTTGATCATGCATTATGACCTATAAACAATCAGGTCAAATATGAATATTCGTTTGATTTTTGTACTTGATTTATATGTTGATCCCACATTTCTCCTATTATTATTATTATTTTTATTTTTAATAAAATGCTGAAGTGGTAGGTAGATGCAAGATAAAGGTAGAAAACATAGTTTAGTGCTGTAAGAAGGCAAATGTAGATGATCAGATGATCAGGTGTGTGCCTATGGACTAAGTATTAATCCAGGCTAGACAAGGGCAGCAAGACATCCACGGATGCAGAAGATTTCTCTCAAAGCAGGGGGGGTGAGGTTCTGAGCCTCACCTCTGTTGATCCCCAAATTCTCACCTGATGGCCCCCCTGCGACTGTGCCTGTCTTAGGTTGTTCCTCCCTTGAGGAATCTTACCCGTCTCTGGCTAACCAGTCATCTTCCGGGGCCATACAGGGAAATGTAAAGTTGGTAAGTGAGAGAGAAGCCATATTGTTTGCAAAGGTTAGCTTTTTACTTCTTTGCAGATTTATGCCCTGTGGCTTCTATGCCCAGCACTTGTCTCGAGGTATCTTTACCACCTGGAGGAATTATGATACTCGGTAAATTCGATATGAGGCACGAATTCTATTTAAGGTTTGTAATTAGGAAGGAAGAAGAAAAGCTATAGATGTAGCAT